ACTTTGATAATATTTATAATGAATACTCCGAGAACTTAGCCGTCGTTGATAATAATATTTCTAATGAATATTTGAATATAAGTGTGTTGGAAAATAACTTAACCGTAAATGAAAACGAACACAACTTGGAAAACGCAGCTGAATTATGGGGGTTTGCAGACTCTTTTGAAGAAAGGCCAAATACTGCAAGTCCTAATTTAGTAGCAGTTAACAAACGTAAAAATCTGAATAGACCTAAAGTAAGGAGTAGTGTTAGAAATAATCGTATTCATAAGGGTTTAACAGAAGAATATAAATGGAAAGTAAAAAATACTAAACCAAAACCTCATGTATTTTCGTCTACACCAAATATTTCAACTTCTTTATCGGCACAATCTAATGAATTAGATTTTTTTAAATTATTTTTCCCTGATCATATTATAAAAATGATTAAAAAAGAAACAAATAGGTATGCTTATACAACCATTCAAAAATTAAAAAAAGCAAATAAACTTAAGCTCAATTCTGTATGGAATAAATGGTTACCCGTAAAAGAGTGCGAAATATATTCTTTTTTTGCAGTAATTTTGCATATGTGTCTTATACCAAAACCTCAACTTAAAGACTTTTGGTCTCAAAATACCGTTATACAAAGTTCTTTTGCTCCAAAAGTAATGCCACGAGACCGTTTTTTATCAATATTATCCATGTTGCATTTAGTTGACAACAGTAAATATGTACCAAGGGAAAATATAAATCACGACAGACTATTCAAAATACGTCCATTTTCCGATTTTTTGAGTAAGCAATGTTCTAAATTTTACAAACCAGCTCAAAATTTAACAGTAGATGAGGGGATCTGTCCATTTAGAGGAAGAATTAGTTTCAGAGTTTATATGAAAAACAAACCTCAGAAATATGGTATGAAACTGTATATATTATCTGATCCTGAAACCGGATATACATTAAATTTCGAAATATACTCGGGTAAAGAACAGCAGKATAATTCAATATGTGCGTTGTATGATAGACTCTTGCGTGATTATTATTATAAGGGCCACACAATTTATATGGACAGGTTTTATACGAGTCCTTTAGTTTTAAAACACCTCTGGAATAAACAAACTAATGCAGTAGGTACAGTCAWGTCAAATAGGAAAAATTTACCAAAAGATTTAATTAAACAAAAATTATTAAAAGGTGAAATTACTTTTGCTAGATGTGGTCCTCAAATGTTCCTGAAATGGAAAGATACAAGAGATGTATTAGTTATGTCGACAGTTCATAATGCTGATTTAGCTCCGGTAACCGTGAGAAGTAAAGTTGGACCCTTAGAAAAGTTTAAGCCACAAGTGATTATTGACTATAACAAATATAAAACAGGTGTCG